ACTATTCTTATTTAATTGATGGCGGTCGAATTGGTATTCTGTGGGAGGAGTTGATTGGTGGCCATTGAAAGTTTGGGGGGCTATGGTATATGAAGTTGTGTGTGTGTGTGTGTGTGTGTGTGTGTGTGAGAGAGAGAGAGAGAGAGAAAGAGAGAGAGGAGGGGGCATTCAGAGGCTTTGATTTAAAAAAAAAAATCAGTTCCTCTATGGCATTTTGTCCTCCCAAGTTCCCAACAACCACGCAAAAGAAATGCTTTTCTTGGTAGTGAATGAAACCTTGAAGTGGTTATTGGGTAGCCAGCTCATTTGATGAAGTTAACCAAGTTTTTAATGGCCTATTTGGCATCATTTTTTGTTTTCAATGCTTTTCTGGCTTGTCTTTTATTTAGATTTGATGCCTCTGTCGATCACAATTCACACCTAAAAGTTGAAATTTGCATGACATCATTTCTAAAATGGATCATTATTCAGTTAAACTTGCAATTTATTCTTCAAATATTTTTAACAAATAAGTGGACGTGTGGGATTAGCAGCAATATATGGCTCCGATTGTTAGGCATCCTCAAAAGGTCCATTTGGGGCTCCATTTATAGTTGGTTGTTGCGTTAGTGGTGTTGGATAGTATTTAATGAAAGGATTTGCTGCTCGGGAGTGTTGTGCCTCATCATCACTATATGTATCCTCGTTATTCAAAAATGTTATTTTATTTTATTTTGGGAAGTATAACTAATAGAATAAAAAAAAAAACAAATAGAAAATTGTATCTTATAAACATGCAATTTTAATTTATCTTTTACTATGAGGAACATTATATTTTCTTGGTATGAGGCTAGTTTAATACTGGGATATTTTTGTAAACGTCTTCGCATTTTTGTGATTTTTGCCTAATTTAGTGCTTTCTTCTATGTATTTAGTTTTCATTATTTATTTTTGTGTTAAACCTACAAAAATCATATTCTTTGTTTCCATTTATGTATACACCTAGCTTGTGAATCTAACATGGTTATTATTTTTGTTGCACAAGTCGCAGGCAGGTCCGGGCTCTGCTTGCATGAAAGTTTTACGCTCTGTTATGTAAGATAGTAGCCAACACGGTACTGATAAAAGTGTCAGAACTCTGGTTGATCAAGCCGAGGCTCCTATATCAGTGAGAGCTCCCAACCCTCAACCTAAATGGTTTTTTTTAAGGAAAAAAAATGACTTATTGTTTGTTTGTTTCCTATTTAGCTTCCTGGGACTTCAACTAAGCTAAAAGCTATAGAGATTGCAGCAGCCTACAATTCCCTGTCTTTTGGAATGGGTTATTTTGGAAGCTCTATAGAGCGGCCTAAGGTACTATAATATGTTTCGAGTAATATTTCAAAGCCCAGCATATGAATTTTCTTCTTTAATTGATATATTTAGATCAAATTTTAAGATCACAATGAGTTCAGTCATGGCGAATCATCTCATTGAGAGTAAACTAATACATTGTGTATTAATTAGGTGTGAAGTGTTCGTTAACATTTGATATATTTAATGATTTCTTGTTTTATAATTGAACAAATATTTTATATAAGAGCATATCATAAACTGACTGGAAGAGGTTTGCATTTCGTATCTAAATTGTTCATTTTGTATCAGTCATAATTGTAATGGTGACATATAACAGTTTGTAGTTTGTCCTGTTCGGTTCTTTCTTTTTTTGCGTTTTTGTGTCCATATCATGTTATATTATATTGGTTTACATTTATCGATTTTTTTGCTGATTACACGAAACGAGCAAGCATGCAGCAATTCAAACCTAATTATGTGTATAATTTTTTACTTAATTATGTGTTTAATTTTTTACTTATACGAAACATATTTGTTTTATTCATTTGTTTTTATGCAGGTCTCAATTCTTAGGACTGCAAAATAGCAAAATAGGATCAGCATCGACCAGTTTGCCGCACGAAATTGATGTTGGTGAAAGTAAAGGATAAAATATTGTGTGCGCTAAGATTTTGATAAGAAATTTAAAATTTGGAAGTAAATCAAACTGGTTTATTTATTATTTCTTTCAAGTGACTCATCATGTTTCAAATGGTTATTAAGGCAAACCTAAAACTTGAAAGATGTTCATTTTTGCTCATGAGAGAGATTAGCACAATTATTTTATGGACCATTCTTCCGCAACATGATAATGGGCTTGTTTGGTGTAGAAAGTTGAAAATATGTGAAGCCTCTTTCATTGGGCTGCAGGCCAAAACCTTAAAGCCTAGGTGAGCTTGCATGGTGGACTGATGAGTGGGCCAAAGCAGGCTACCTCTATGAGCTCGTGGCCTACCCTCCAAGCTTAGCCCAAGATTTGAGTCTTTTTTTTAAAATAATTTTTCTTCACCTTTTTTTTTTTATAATTTTTTGTGGGCTGGGTTGTGCTAGGTTTCAAATTCAAGGCCCAATCTCTCTTGTGCTGGCATGTCTAGGATTTGGGCTTTATTTGTGTAAAAGCCCAATGAGCTTGGGCCAGGTTGGGTTTCAAGTTCAAGGCCCAATTCTAAGCTCTGTCTAACTTGGGTTGGCCTGTCCAGGATTTGGCCTTTGTATGAGTAAAATCCCATTGAGTTTCGGCCAGGTTGGGTTTCAAATTCATGGCCTAGTCTTACTTGGGCTAGCCAGTCTAGGATTTGGGCTTTGTTTAGGTAAAAGCCCAATGAGCTTGGGCTGGGTTGGGTTTCAATTTCAAGGCTCAATACTAAGCCTAGTCTCATTTTAGCCGACATGTCCAGGATTTGCCTTGGTTTAGGTAAAAGGCCCAACAAGCTTGGGTCGAACTAAGTTTCAAATTCAAGGTCCAATTTCAAACCTAGTCTCATTTGGGCTGACCTGTTCAGGATTTGGGCCTTGTTTGGGTAAAAGCCCAGCAAGTTTGGGCCAGACTGGGTTTCAAGGGCAAAAAACTGTATGCCATTATCTTTGATATTTCTCAAATTTTTTAAATTGAGCCTTTGAGATTCATTACAATAAGAAAATAAATATGCACAAATTTTAATCACTAGTTTTTATAGTTTGGTTTTAGTGTCATTTCGACCTTTGTAATTTTAATTAATTCAATTTTAATCTTAAATTTTTTATTGTCTCAACTTAACTTAATTAACTGCAATCGTTAACTCTTTTTTTTTTTTTTTTAATTATGAAAATTGCACACATAAGTAGCATGAGTTATGCTTTTAGGAACAAAATTATAATTTTTCTTAACTAAGTCAGTCAATCTCAATCATCTCATTAACGATTTTACTTCAAAACCACTAATTGACGTTATTAATTGAATCAAAATAATACAAAATTTAAAATTTAAATCAAAATTAAATCAATTAAAAATGTGAAAATCAAAATGATAGGTAAGACAAAATACAAAACTACCAATTTAATTTCCCAACAAACATTACCACTTTCCTTATCTTGATTCCAGGAAAGATTCAAGGCTGCAACCTAAGACAAGAAAATAAAACAAACAACAAAATCAAATTAAGGCCAAAAAAAACAAAAAAACAAAACTATGGTACAAAAGAATTTCCCTATCTTGATTCCAGGGAAGCTCCAAGGCTGCTGGCTAGGGGTGAGCATGGTCCGGATTGGACCGGATTGGGATAAAATTAGGACCAATCCGTTATCTACGGTTCCTAAAAAATTGGAACCAATCCAATCCGTTTAAATCATGGAACCAATCCAAACCAATCCATTTAAATACGGATTGGATCGGTTTAGGACCACGGATTCACATAATTAAATAACAAAAATATATTTATAACACTTTAATTTTATAAAAATATAAACATAGCGCTATATTAGTTCTACAATAGCAACATATTTTTCTATAATAGCGACATACTATTCTAAAATTTAAATAACCATAAGAAAATTGGTTTCACTATAAGTATTTAAACCATTACAACTTAAAACTAAAAACCAACAAACAAGAGTAATAAAAGAAGATGTTATACGGTTTTAGGTTTGAGTTTAAATTTTATATAGAATTAAGAGAAGATACTATGGGAGAGGATGTATAATAAAAATATAGACTATTTGTATACGGTTCGGATTGGTTTCAATCCGGAACCGTGGGGTTCAATCCGGAACCAATCCGTAAACTACAGATTTTTAATTCTTCAATCCGGAACCGAACCGTGGATTCAAAAAACTAATCCAAACCTATCGAATTGGACTGGACTGGATCGGATTACGGATTTCACGGATCACTTGCTCAGCCCTACTGCTGGCTCGCAAGCTATCAGCTTGTAACCTAAGACAAGAAAATAAGACAAACAACAAAATCAAATCAAGGCCCAAAAAAAAAAAAAAAAACTATGGTACAAAAGAATTTTTTTTATGATTGTCAAGCAAATATTCAAAAATATAATAAAAAATAAAAAAATTTAGTCCTCGATTTGTATTGAAAAGTGTTGTTCGGACTCATGGAGTTCGCTATGAGTTTCATTCTGATAATCTAAACCATTCATTTTGTATTTTAAATTTCTCATTATTTAGTGTTTTTAGACTACTACACATTATTCATGTCAGAACACTTGTTCAACTATCTCTTACAAAAGAGAGAAATTTTTTTTAATTAAACTATAAATTAAATCATTGGTCTCTATAATTTTAGTGAAGTGTCATTTTAGTCATCGTAATTTTAATTTGAACATTTTAGTCCTTACATTTTAAATTTTGTTATGAGATGATATTTCCGTCAAATGTTGTTAACAATTGAAACATAAAAAATTAAGTGCAAAATTAGAAGGATCAAAACAAAATTCAAAACAAATTATAGGGATCAACGACATAATAAATATACTAATTACACAGGTGATCATATAATTGGTTTTGAATTTCACTTCAGTCCATCTTTTATTTTACTCATAGTATTTTTCCGTTTCAAATTCAACAATAAGTAACAAAAAAAATCACATTCCAACAAAATTGAAAATGTATAAACCAAATCCCAAAACTATATTGTTGGTTAAAGATGGGAAAACTTCTAAGCCACCCTCTACCAACTGAGAAAAACCATGATAGAGATATGAATTCATTGAAAAACATATTAACAAACGTAATTGGGTTCTTCTACTAACAATATTATATTTGGGTTCTTTTATTTTTATTTTTTAATTTGTATGTTGTTTTCGCAGAGTGACAGACGGCTAATGAAAGGAGACTATATTTTTTACTTAACTCAGAGCACTCAATTTCTTCTTCTTCTCACAAACATATAGCCATTTTTGAGACTGCTAAAGCTTTTTTCACTAAAAAAAAAAGTCAACAACCTCTTTGCTTTGCTTTGCTTCTGATCTGTTGGTTTTTTCTTTTCCTTCTGTAATCGGAAACAATGCCTCTAGCACAGATCTTTCTCTCTGGCTTCGTCAAATTGCTGTTTGAGAAGATGACCTCTTTTGCATCCTCGAAATTACCTGCCTTTGAAGGTATTGATACCCAGCTGACCAATTGGACCAAGATGCTGCGCCAAATTGAAGCTGTTCTGATTGACGCAGAGGAGAAGTAAATGACAGTTCCAGCCGTGAACCTATGGCTTGACGATCTCCAGGATCTGGCATATGATTTGGATGATTTAGTGGATGAGTTCGCCACCGAAGCTTTGCAACACAAGCTCAAGGCAAAGCCACGCTAAGCTAGTTCTAGCAAGGTATGGAACCTTATCCCTAATTTCAAGCCAACAGATGTTATCTTTAATTTTAGAATGAAGTCCAAGATTGAGGAGATCAATACCAGATTGCACAATAGTTTTGAACAATGTTCGAAATTTAATTTGGTTAAGATTGTTGGAACCACCACACCTACTAAGACTTGGCAAATACCAGAGTCTACATCTTCATTTGATGAACCTCGCGCTTACAGCCGAAAACACGATCAGAGTAAGATAATTAAGTTGCTTGTAAAGGGGGATGAATCAAGTGATAACAACATTGGAGTAATTCCCATTGTGGGTATGGGTGGGATTGGCAAGACCACCCTCGCTCAGATGGTATACAAGGATGAAACTGTGAAGGAGTATTTCAATCTGAAAGCATGGGTCTGTGTGTCAAATGAGTTTGACATTATGAAAATAACAAAAACTATTTATGATTCAGTGACTTCCCAAACATGTAGTTTTAATAACTTGGATCAAGCTCAAGTTGAACTACAGAAGGCTTTGGCGGGAAGGAAGTTTTTAATTATTTTAGACGATGTCTGGAACGAAGACTACAATGCTTGGAATGTTTTGAAGAAACCTTTCAATGATGGAGCCCAAGGGAGTAAAGTCGTGGTGACAACACGTAACAGAGACATTGCAACAATGATGGCAACTGTTGAACTCCATAACGTTAAGATCCTATCAGATGAGGATTGTTGGTCATTGTTTGCACAACATGCCTTTGCGAATACAAGTATTGATGCAAATCCAAATTTGGTATCAATTGGTAAGAAAATTGTGGAGAAATGTAAAGGTTTGCCTCTCGCTGCTAGGACACTCGGTGGCCTTTTACGCAACAAAGTACGAGATGAGGAATGGGTAAATGTATTGCGTAGTAAAATATGGGATTTACCACACAATAAAAGTGACATCCTTCCTGCTTTGAGATTAAGCTACCATGATCTTCCTTCGCATTTAAAGCAGTGCTTTGCATACTGCTCAATAATACCCAACGACTATGAATTTGAGGAAGAGGAGCTAGTCCTATTGTTGATGGCAGAGGGCTTCATTATACAACAAAAAGAGAAGCAAATGGAAGATGTAGGAGCTGAGTACTTCCATGAATTATTGTCAAGGTCTTTTTTCCAACCATCTAGTACCAGTAAAAGCTCTAAATTTGTGATGCATGACCTCATCAATGATTTGGCTCAAGTAGTTGCAAGAGATACTTGTTTTAGAATAGAGGATAGATTGAAAGATCAAGACCAGTACAAGAATCTAAAGAAAGCTCGACATTCATCTTACATGCAGCAATACTATGAAGGTATGAAACAATTTGAGATCATTGATAAAGCCATGCATTTACGGACTTTCTTACCATTTGGCATAAAATATAGATTGGGTTATAATTTGGCAAGCAATGTTCCCCTTAATCTATTCCCAAAACTAAAACGCTTGAGGGTGCTCAGTATGAGTAGATATTTCATCACAGAACTTCCAAATTCGGTTGGAGATTTGAAACATCTGCGGTATCTTAACCTTTCCTACAGCCATATAAAAGAATTACCTGAATCACTAGGCTCTCTCTACAATCTACAAACATTGATGTTAAGAGAATGTAAAAAACTAAAAAAGTTGCCTTTAGATATGGGAAACCTAATTGACCTACGTCATCTTGATACTACAGGTGCAGATTCCATAGAAGAATTGCCAATGAGAATAGGTAAGTTGGTTAGTCTTCATACACAGTCCAATTTTATTGTTACTAAAAACAATGGGCTTCAGATAAAAGAGTTGGGGAACTTAATTTATCTACAGGGGAAGCTTTGCCTATCTGGACTACAGAATGTAGTGAATCCTCTAGATGCAAGGGAGGTGAATTTAAATGATAAGAAAGGGGTTATATGTGTTATCAATGAAATGGAGTGTTAACTCAGATGATTCATGAGATGGAAGAGTTGAAACAGAAGTGCTTGACAAGCTACAACCTCACAAGAATTTAAAAGAGCTCCATATCAAAGGCTACCTTGATACAGGATTTCCAACTTGGATAGGAGATTCCCTGTTCTCCAATATGGCTAACCTAAGTTTAGAAAATTGTGGAAATTGTGCATCCTTTCCACCACTCGGACAACTACCCTCCCTCAAAAAGCTTTACATTAAAGGAATGAGTGTACTAAAGCATGTCGGTTGTGAGTTCTACGGGCAAGGTGGTGTTCAACCTTTTCCATTACTAGAGACTCTAAGCTTTGAAAATATGCTAGAATGGGAGGATTGGTATACTTTTGAAGATCACAAGGAAGTTCAACCATTCACACGTGTCAAGTATCTCTCCCTAATAAAATGTCCTAAACTTGTTAAAATGTTGCCTACTAATCTACCTTGTTTGAATAATCTAAAGATTTCAGAGTGCCCGCAATTCCTAGTTTAAGGTTCCAGCATTAGCCTCCCATCACTCACCTGTATAGCTATGAATGGCGGCCCTCTAACAAGCCTTGAAACGGTCCTTGAGATGGGGAGTATGGCTGATGATGAAGTGATATCGGCAAATGCAAAGTGTAAGCATCCGAGTTTAATAACTTCCTTGAGCATTGGGATGATCAAGAAACTTGAGCTCTTGCCGAAATGGGTTACTCATGGGCTAATGGAACTCAAAGCATTGAAGATTACAAGTTGTGAAGAACTTAAGACACTGTGGAAGGATGAGGTGAGAGTGCAGCACAGTCTCCTTGCATTCCGAAGTTTGCAAATTAGAGGTTGTCCCCAACTTGTTTCATTGTTTGAAGAAGATAAGGATGAAGAAAATGAAGGGCAACATCAGCAACAACAAGAAGAGGGACTCCCTTGCATAGCGAGGCTTGAGCATCTAAGAATATATAATTGTGAAAAGTTGGAGAAACTGCCACAGCTGCTACATACCTTCACTTTTCTTCAAGAGTTGTATGTCTATAACTGTCCAAGTCTCGGCTCTTTTCCAAAGACAGGTTTTCGTGCACGCTGAAAACACTCAAGATATGTAATTGTGAGGCTCTGCAATCCTTATTTGGGTGGATAACACAAATTAATGACAATAATCTTGAAGTGTTAACGTTTGAGAATTGTCCATCCCTCACATGCTTGATATTGTGCAGAGGTGGGGGGCTACCACCCACACTCAAACACCTTGAGATTGAGAGGTGAAAAAAGTTGGAGGCACTGCTAGTAAATGAGGGGATGGAAATTAACTGTCCATCTCTTGAGTCTGTTCGGATCTGGGGTTGTTATATGCTCAAATACTTGCCAGATGCCCTTCCTAATAATAATAATCTCAGGAATCTCAGTCGATTGATCTTGTATGGGTGTAAGAATTTGGAGTACATTCCGGAAGGATGGTTCCACTCCGCAACAAATCTAACATATTTGAATATCAGGGGATGCCAAAAACTGAAGGCCCTACCACACAAATTGCAGAGCATCAACTACCTCACTTCTCTTCAAGAGTTGTATTTGAATATTTCAGAATGGAACAACTTCAAGAAGATTGGTTTGCATAGTTTATCCTCTCTTAAAATCTTGTTGATTGAAGGCAAAGACGAAGAACATTCAGTGGGTTCCAGCTTTCCGATAGATGGGATGTTGCTGCCCACCTCTCTGATCGATCTTCATATCTCAGGTTTCCGAAATCTGGAGAAGCTATCTTCTAAGTTGTTTCAAAATCTCGCCTCTCTTGAATTTCTTAAAATCGGTGGTTGCCCTATGCTCAAATCTTTACTAGTGCAAAGGTTGCCTCCCTCACTTAAGAGATTGTTGATCATCGGGGGAAGTCGGAAACTAACAGGGAAGTGTGAAAAGGGGAAAGGCAAATATTGGCCCCACTTAGCTCACATTCCTTGTGTCGACGTTGATGGTTGATGATTGATGATTCTCAGTTCTAAACCATGTGGAAATTCCCATCGCAATACAAGCAATCAAATTGCCAGGTATCAAAACATAAACTAAGATAAATATATACATTTAAAAATATTTTCAGATTTTAAAAACAAAATATTTTTTCAAAAATAGAAAATCATATGAAAAACCATAACTGTTTTTGCTTATCATTTTTAATTTTTTTTTTTTTTTTTTGAATGAGGGATCCCTGAAGTATGCAATACATTATATTTTCAAGTTAATCGAATTTTTTTGGATGAGGAACTTATTTGCAAATTCATATAAAAAGTTAAAACAAAATAAATTTGTATTTTGAATTAACAAAAAATATTTTTGAAAATAATGAAAAACATATGTTAAATTTAAATTCAGATGACCGTTATGGAATGAGTAAATAATTTCTAAAATTTTGTTTCGTTTTGCAGTTTTCAAAAATAGTTTTAAAATTTTTAATTCATATTTTTTTAATATATTGGGTAATTTTTTTTTTTTAGATGCATCTAATCTACATATACTTAAAAAAATTTAAATTAAAAAATATTTAAAAATTTTAATAAATACAAAATAAATACAAAAATGTATTAAATATTTAGTGATTTTTTAAACCATTTTTTAAATAAAATTTAATATGTTTTAGGTGTATTTAGATTGAGTGGATCTAAAAACTTTAAAAAATATTGATTATAATACTTAAAGTGTTCACTGAAAATTATAAAATATGGATTGAAACTTAAAAACTATTTTTGAAAACGCTAAAACTGAACAGAGTTTTAAAAATTATTTCAATTTCTAAAAACTAAATGAGTTTTGGATTTTCAAATTTCTAAAAAATATTTTTAGAATATACAACCAAACAAATTTTTAGAAAATTATCTTTCAAAATTGATTATGAAAACCAAACCTTAGTTTTTTGGGTTTTCTATGCTAGTCATTAATAAATTATTTTTGTATTTGTTAAGTTATTACCTGTCTAGTGACTAGGGAAAAGTCAAATTGAAAGTGATTAAGCTGGTGTAAATTCTTGTTGAAGCGGGAATTTTTTGGCCAGTCAAATGAGGGTAATGTTAAAAAAAAGAAAAGGAAAGAGAATGAAATGCTATGAAATTATCTAAGTAGTTTGCAAATGCTTAGAAAAATTAAATAATTTTTTTGTTGTTGGAAGAGCAAACTTAAAAGGTTACAAACAAATATACGCATATCTGGTGTTCAAATTTCTTTTTGGTGAGCTATTCTAATAAATATGGAAATTGAAAGCAATTTTAATTGTATACTTGGAGATGTTACATTTTCTGTAGGAAAAGAATTCAGAGAAGTTTTATCAATCTATAAGGGATTATTTGATACAGATATGTGCTTTCAAGGATTGGAATACAAAGAGAGGCATATTCTGTTAGATTTCCTTGCCTGCTTTTATTTCCCGAAGGAACCACAACAAATGGAAGAGTTCTCATTTCTTTCCAACTTGGTGCAATTGTCCCTGGATATCCTGTCCATCTAGTGATTGTTCGTTATCCCCATGTACACTTTGACCAATCCTCGTAAGAATTTTCTTTAGTTGAAACCGTTTTGTTGTTGTCTTTCATAATGTCTTTACCTAACTTGCATCATTTGGCCTATCATTTTGTGTAGGGGAAATATAGCTTTGGGAAAGCTCATGTTTAGAGTGTTCAAAGTTTCACAATTTCATAGAGGTATGTTGAGTGATTTTTTATACTAAAAATGTAGTGAGTTTGGTTTCCCCCACTATTTTTGTTTGTAAAATTTTTGGGTAGTATGTTGTGTGAAGTGGCAATTCATATATATAGGTTGTTATAGTGATGGCCCAATTTGCTATTTTTCTTTTGATAACTAATTCACTCTCGCAGATCATCAATGCTGATTATTCATCAACTTAAATGTATATGCATTTATATGATGTGTCCTTGACTATATTATAATTTGAATTTTGGTTACAAAATAACTTGTATGTTGTAAAAAGTTGAATCCATTTATTAAATTGTACAGGTAGAGTATCATCCTGTTATCTTACCTCTTGAAAATCAGGAGGAAAATGCTGCCCATTTTGCTTAGAGGGTGAGTCAACATTATTTGATTAATCTTTGTTTCCTTGTTGGCTTCACTTAATATTTTAATATTAATTATATTCTTATACATCAAAGTTTTTAATGGGCACATTACATACAATTTCTTAATTATTTTTTATAATGTCAACATGTTCTGTATTTCATATACTTAATCTCCTAAGCAATTCAGAGCCAGTAGATCTTTAACACACCATAAATATTGTAATTGAATTTGTGTGATGTTATGTCTACTGCGTTTGTGTGTGGAAGCCTGCCCTTTTTTTTCGCATCTGTGCACAAAGAATTAGCCAATTGATGATTCCTGGTCCTTGGATTTCAAGTAATATTATATATATACAAGGATCAAAATTTCCGGTGTGTTGTTTCAAATAGTACTAAAACAAAAACATCTTGGAAATATTTTATGAAATAAAAATTAAATAGAAATGTTTGAAAATATAAATTGAAATATATCTAAATGTATAAAAGCTAATAATTGATTATAGCCATTCAAGTAAAAGAATTAAAAAACGAATGTCACCATGAACTAAAAATTATTAAGCATTGTCAAATAACTCAATTTTATTAAACAAAAATTTCCAATGAGGTCTAAAAACTTACTTAAACAGTAGCAATAAATGAAAATTTCTAAATTTGTATAGATACAATTTACTCTTTCAGTATATCGCACTATGTTTTGGTGTGTTTCACTATGTTTTGATGTGTTTCAATGAAAACACTAGAATTTTATTATTTCACTAGTGTTTCGTTTCGACCTCTTGGGAATTGGAAACACTTTGACCATTTCAACGGACACAAACGAAAATTTTGTTCCTCATATAGATTAAAGATAAATCCATTTCAAAAAGTTTTCATTCACGTATTGTCTACGTTTTCATGTTTTTTGGTTCCAAACAAATGGCATATGGTACCTATTAAAATTGGGTGTAACTGCACATGCAACAGCCCTCGTGTCTTCTACGTGCACTATGTTAACTTATTACAATTGGAGGAATAGTTTCCTATTGTCCGTCTTTAGTTTGGGAAATTTTCCCTTTTGTATTCTTTTAGTAGCTATTGGTGTATTGCCATGATTCCTAGGGCAGAGCCATGTATAACAAAGTTTCCACTGGAAATTTGAAGATCTGAAATTATATACACTCCACATGTTTACAAAATATCTACCTAACTAACTCTGTTACAACAAGTTGAACTAACACTTGACTTGTTTGGTTTGCAGAACAACATATCTCTAGTCTAGTCTTAGATTGAATCCTGGATTGCTGAGTCTTGCTTGGTTACACTAACTGTACAAACATTTCATTCCTATGGGGACATCATGTTGCTTGCAAAAGCTTCCGAGTCCAAACAGGTCACTTTTCGTGCTCCATGTGTTTTGGCTTTTACAGTTTATCTTGATTTTAGGTTAGCAAAAATGATCTTGTACTTCACTTAAACATTCTATGAAGTGCTAGATTTCAGCTCTTAAACTTAATTTGATGGCCTTTTTTGCAATGGACCAAGAATATTTGATGTAGCTGCAATGATGGAATTTACATTGTCTCCTTGAGATCTCATAATGTTTTAGGTGTAGGCCTTGAAGCACACCATTTAACGCTTGTAATTCTTGTTTTCCAAAATAAATAACTTCAACTCTCTTTCACATGCATTACTAAAAATATTTTAGTGTACTCTGGTTTGCCAAGTTTGATTTCTTTCAAATTGGGTATTTCAGTATTCATTTCTCCGTTGTATGTTTCCACTTTGATGGAAGAGTATATTTTTTTTTTTGTCCAAATTCTAGGGAGTATATATGTTGTTTGGAAACATTGTGTTTGTTCATAGTGTTTATTGCCTAGCCTTAGAAAACTGTCCAGGAACTTTCCCGGATGCAACTTTAGCTTCATTGGTTTCTTTAATATTTTTTCATATTTACTTGGAAATTTTTTTGTAAATTTTTCATTTTGTCTACTAACTTCTATACAAGCCTTTTTCTAATAAATAATAATGCTAAATTATTTAAAGAGTCATGCTAATGACAGCCCAATGGGCTGCCAATAAGGGGAAGAAAACGCCAAAAAACTCTCAATGTATTTTTTACACATCCCAAAGCATTTTCACAAATTTGGACACACTTTTTACACGTCCCCTGGTACTGTTGACAGCCCAAAGGCTGTCTTTAGCATTTTTCCTTATTTAAATTATGCAAATGTATTCCATGTCCAAGAGATATGCTGGAAGACTCATAGGAATGATGGAAACAACCGTAGAATACCACATGTTTTATAAAATTAAGTTGCATCTCTCTCTCTCTCTCTCTCTCTCTCTCTCTCTCTCTGGGGGAGTTTGAAGTCCTCTATGGAGTCCACCCTAATTTTTTTGTCATTTGTATGCTTTGCAGGAAAATCCCTCACTACATACTGTTGAAATGGCAAATGTGGAATCAGTGAGTTTTTAATTGAATGATTTATATATGAATACTTTAATTGTGTTATAATATGGTGAAAATACAGAGAGATTCATATCATATCTTTAGGGGTTGTTTGGTAATTGTGTTGGGCTACATAATCACAAAAGGACAAAAAAAAGTCAAAAAATCACAAAAAGCCAAAAATCACAAAAACACAAAAAAAATCCACCATTCCAAAGCTAAAAAGCCAAAAAGCCAAAAAATCCAATCAAGAATACCAAACGAACAAAAAAATCCCAGGCTAAAAAAGTCAAAAAAATCAAAAAGTCAACTAAAAAAGTTATTGCCAAACGAAGGCTCAGTATCTTTTGGTTTTGTTTTTTTTGGTGTGTGTGTATATTTAATATAAATGTATAACACATTTTAGAAGAAAAGAACGAAGCATGCTTTTGTATCTATTGGTTAAAATGATGAAAAATTGAAAATGAGCTTTATAGACTTGTAATTTACATATGGCTCTAGAGAATTATTTTTGGGTGCTTCGAATGCATGTTGTCGTGTGTTCCTATAGTCAAGAGCACTCTATCGAACTTGCCCATTTATTTTTTGTCCATGACCCATTTTTGGCGTTTTATCCTTTCAAAACATTACTCACCTAAGGTTTTAGTTCAATTGTGAATTTTATTTTCCTCCCAAGGAAACCTTCGAGGAAATATATTTGAAAACCTTTTGAGATCATTAAATTTACGATTTTGGAACAAAAATTTACCATGTTTTGGAACGTGCTTTCCAAAATCTAATTCGTTTGGGTGTTAATGTTTTGTGGTAACACTTTGGTTTTATGGATTTTGTAGAGAGCTTATTTCCATTGGTTTTTTAATTAGGGTGCATTTTGCACATAGCACATGCCTATTGTCTCTGTTGGTTTGCAATAAATTATCCTTGTTTTTTTTAAATGCAGAGGAAGATTCAGGTAATTTGATTACCATCAATTATTCTAAATACATTGATCCCTCTCTAAACCAAATTTCTCTCTTCTTATTCAGTATTCTAGTTCATCATTAATGGATTACTCTCAATTTTATATTAATTGGTCAATTGGAAAGAAGATGAAATGGATTATATCTCTTCTTTGCCAGACATTCGATTTAAGCAGTTCAAAAGCTATGGACTTTCTGGATACATTTCTATCCATGAATCCAAATTCCAGGTATGACGACAAGAAATTTTAATTTTAGTGATATTTTCTATAATACAATAATTATCATGTATGGCTTCATTTTCCTGTAAGGAGCTATTTATAATATACTTTTGATCAAAACTACTTGAGTTGTTCATCTAGAACTTCATGCCACCTTACCTACATGCAAGTCCCTAAATGTGATCAATTTTCCTTCATTCTGTCGCACAAGATTATTGAATAGGGTATTTGAATCATGGATGACTGATCTACTTGTTTTTTTATTTTTTATTTTATCCTTCATTTCATGTGCTCTTTTTGTCCTCTTTCTTTTTCCTTTCTTTCGCTTGTAGATGTGATTTTTATTTGAGTTTATTAAAAAGTATATTTTCATTGAACTAAAGCTGCATCCATGCCAATGATGCAAATAAAGGATTTTTTGGTGGCTAAATGAAATTATTCTTGATATTTCATTATTTGATTTAAAAGCATATTTAAATTGCTTCTTCCCATTTTTCTCTGATATATCAAATCCTTGGTAGGGTTATAATTAACGTTGATCATGAGTATTTCTGTGAATATATATTTTTGCCCTCATCAGTATGCTGTGTCTTAGTTGTGCACTGGATAACCCTACTGTTGCACTGAAATTCATTAATCATTATCATATCAGGCTTTTCTTTTCTCTTTATTTTTTCTTTTATGCATGATTTTAAAACATGTGAGCTCAATTTTCTTCCAACAACTGGGTTTCGAAATTGACACTTTTTTTTATATTGTGATTTGTGACTATTATAACATACTGTAGTGCTTCACTGAACTGAAGATGTAGACCATATGTATCTAAATATGCTTAACTCTGTCCTAGTTGCAACATGCAGCACTAAAATGCTTTCTTTTCTCTCTTGAGTTTGTCTAATTGCATTTAAGTTTATGTTAATATCAATAGCCCTTAAGGTGACAGTGATGCAAGAATTGTTTATCTCACTATTTGCATCCTGCTCATAGCAGACAGGTTAGAATCCACGATTTCTTCAGGGTCCTGAGATTGAAAGCTTGTAATCTTTCTGAAAAGGTTAGTTACCAAGTATTTTTCACTTTTTATGTAACCTGCTGATCTTTAATATGAATATCTTGTTTGTGTCTCTATGCTTGAAAGGCCTCTTTTAAGTATGCTGTCTCCGTCTAGTTCTTTTTCAATTTTTGACATTTGAACTACAAACTCATTTGTTACATATATATATTTTAAAAATTAATTTACCATAGAGTGAAGGTCGATATACATTTGAACAATAAAATTGTCACAAGACAGGCATGACAATTTTTAACAAGGATTTGTGTTTGTGTCAAATGCCAATACTTTTCACACTTCCGGAGTTATGTAGAACACATTTTAAAGCTGTTCTTCATTCAAAAATTAAACTTCATGATTTATGACACTTGGGCAACATGTCCTCACACTGGCCAATATGTAACCCGCAGAACTCATTTGTTGTGTTACTGATTTCATCTAGTTTAGAGAAAAATTTTAATCATGAAGAAATATCAAGTCAAAGGCTTATACAAAAATTTTCAATTTGACCATATTTTAAAAGAGGATAAATTACCTGTAAGGAGTAGGGTGTGGAAGGAGAGAGGGTGTGGGAGGAGAGAGAAGTCATTATAGTAATCTGCACTTCTGTGCCTGACACAAATTCTGCTCTATCTGTCTCTGTCATCATCAATGATTATATCAATATAATTCACTACTAGAAAGTTCAATTACAACCTAAACGATCCCATTACAAGGGTGAGGACACTCTAAATACACATATTGCCCAATTAGAAGCAAATCAATTAGGAAATTGAAAGATGATTGATTATTATCCGTGGATTGATATGACTACTTTCAGTATGTATACATAACCAAGTAGGACTAGTTCAGTTGACCAGAATTCTTGCATCGCTCATGTAGGTCAAGGGTTCTTGTCTTGCCATGGACAAGGTTCCCCTCCTCGCAAGGCTATGATTGCAAATGTCCAAAAATAAAAAATAAAATAAAGAAAGATATTACCACTTGGAACTTGCAGACTGGGGACCCTGACATTCCAAAGTTGTATAACAGAATGCTCAGCTCCTGATTGGATTCCAAAGCTGCAATGGCTTGTCACACTTGATTAAAACTTGTGTTAAGTATCAAATGAAAAAAATACTAGAAGCATGTTTTTCCTTTATTTTTCTTATCAACCTGTACAGAATTGAGTGCAGCAAGTATTGAACGATGTTCTCCAGGAACTTTGCACCAGTGACTGCAAGGCTATGACAATTATCATGGTCATTAATTCCTCTGATTTACTTGAACAAAAATACTTAAGCATTAAGTTGCACAGATGATAGTTAATTAAAGGAGAAGACAATATACGTTAAGACGACAATATATTAGATTTGTGAATCGTATACTATGCGATTTGCTATGTAATAGTACTCTTATTTGCTGTTGTGTATCTATTTTCTTATGATTTGATGAGTCACTATCTAACTTTCAATGTTGGACCTCCTTGCAGCTCCGTCCTTGCAGGCCTCCGGGCTTACTTTTAGGCCCAATTTTGATAATCCGAACCGTTCATATTTTATGATTTATTCAGTATATCATACCTGTAAAAAATCAAGTTGATCGGATATCAGAAAGCATGTGTTCGGAAAACTGTTTATTAAATTATATAAAAAATAGAAAATGATGTTCCCATGAAAGGGTGAGCCACAGCCTAGTAGAAATATACTAAACCGACTATGAACAATGCCTAAAAGATTAACAACTGAAAGATGGTCAATACTTACACTTCCGTTTACATCTTATTAAAACTCCATGACAGTCAAGTTTATGTTACAATTCACTTTCCATTTCTTATTCAACTTTGAGTTTGAAAACAAGGCTCAGTACTCTGGCCAAAACATTTTGATGAGATTATAGTTCATCACTAGAACATTTTTTTCAAAATTTACGGTGGATACACATTTTGGTGTTGTATCAATAACACATAAACTACTTCCATACTTCACAAACGATAATGATATACATTTTAGTGCTATATCAAATCAAACAAACTTTTCAATAGATAAGCATATGAGCTATATCACTACTACAACAGATAAGCATATGAGCTATATCACTACCACAACAGATAAGCATATTACACATCAACAGATAAGCATATTAGCTGTATCCACACTTCACTAGACAAGCATATGAGTTATATCTACACTTCACTAGACAAGTATATGAGCTGTATCTACACTTCACTAGACAAGCATATGAGCTGTATCTACACTTCACAAAGATAAGCATATGAGCTGTATCTTCACTTCTCTAGACAAGCATATGAGCTGTATCTACGGAGTTCATCCTTCATCTCCTCCCAATCCTATCCGGTTTAGAGGTACATCTCCCATCTTCCCCTAAACCGCGGAGTACATCCCCCATCTCCTCCTCTATACACAATGCATATAAACACAAAGGTTCTATACACAATCAATCAATACATAAAATTAATGTATTCTACCAACCGTCTACATATAATGCATATAAACACATTGGTCATATACACAATCACTCAATACATAAAGTTAATGTATTCTATCAACCGTCATACTCTATGACACATCCGATTGATTAGTTTTAGTTTGCCTAATCATCATGCATTGTCTACAACAATCAACACTACCCTCCACCGGTAGCCCAAAGCAATTATTTCTAAGCAGGAAACAAATGCACACATTGATAATATATCAATATTTCAACTAGATGAGGAATAAAAGATTCGACTACACTCTTTAGTCCTATACATTCCCAATTTCAACATTCTCGATTCAATTTCTTGTTTTCTTCAATTAATTATATGCATTAATTAATTAAACCAATTAGGGCAAATTACCATAATTCACAAAACAACCCTAAGGTTCTATTTCCATCAATGTCCCAACATTAATCTCATTTCTCTATGCCTAACATGCATATGGGTTTATATATCTAAAACCCCAACTTTTGTAAAATTACACAAAGGCCCAAACTTTCTCAAAATTACCCAACAACCCCCAACATATCAAAATGCTAAAATTCAAAGACAAAGCTCATAAGATGGAGTAGGTTATCCCTACCTCGAATGATGGGGCTCAACGAAGAAGATGAAGAAACGGAAATTCTCCAAATTCCGAAATTTTCAGATTAAAAGATAGCCCTCGACGATCAACACAACTTTTGTAAAGGCCCAAGGTGAGAAAACAACTCCTACTAGATCAATCCTAAGAGAGAAGTTAGGGTTCTAGTGAGAGGAACTCTCGAAATACCTTTTTGGAAAAGTAAGAGAGAGAAAGAATGTTGAAAAGTGAAAAAAAGGTCGGATCTCGGCTTTATATAAAAGTCGCCCCGCTCGAGCGGCAAAATCCCCGCTCGAGCGTCACTCACAGATCCCCGTTCGAGCGTCCAATCCCCCGCTCGAGCGGCGGATGCACGCTCCCAGAACTTATGCAGACATGATGCCCGCTCGAGCGTCAAACTCCCCGCTCGAGCGTCAGACACATACTCCCGCTCGAGCGGCCAATCCCCTGATCGAGCGTATACCACTACAGACGAAATACTGGATGGGTGATTTCCCCGCTCGAGCGCCAAAGCCCCCGCTCGAGCGGACAAGCAACAACAGAGTCCCGCTCAGGCGTCAAAAGCGCAGCTCGAGCGGAGAGACCAAGAACTGGGCGAAGACTTCCCGCTCGAGCGTCGAACTCCCCGCTCGAGTGTCACTCACAGATCCCCGCTCGAGCGCCAACACCCCCGCTCGAGCGGACAAACAACAACAGAGTCCCGCTCGAGCGGAGGGACCAAAAACTGGGCAAAGATTTTACGTTTTAAAACACAGCAGACTTATTCCCAACTTGCCCAACACAACCCAAAGCTCGAACACAAAGAGAAAGGAATAGAAAGAGGATAAGACAACAGCACTCTCACGAAACCGAATCCGGATTATAGTTAAGTACGAAAGGGAAAACCGGGATCGCTATAACGACAAAGCCAATAAACTAAGTCTATGTAGGCCTATTGTAAAATAATTTAAGCTTATTTCAACTTAATTCGGCCAGATTTTAAAAAGTTTGTTAGGCCATCTTGATCCCTTAAATTTTTACTCAAATTTAAGAAAAATTATTCATCCACATAATTTCCTCACCCCAAACCCCCTCAAATGATGTGACAAGCAAAATTTGAGAAATTGACCTTCATTCAAATATTTCTTCAAAACTCTCTTTACATGTATTTTGTTTTGCCATCTCATTAGGGGAATTGTGGGGGAAATAAATTGTGTGGATGTAGCACTGCTGCAAATTTAATTAGAAATCTAAGTTTGATTTGATATGACATTCCAATGTATAAACTTAGGTTTAATTGTAAATTTGAGTAAAACTTCAGTAATGGTAGAGTGGTAAATTTGAAAATTACAAAATGATCTTGAAAAAAATTCGAGTATATATTTATGTCTCCTTTAATTTGCGTTAAAAAAGGGGTAAACTTAATTTCATATAAATTTGAGTCAATGAGTGAAGAGGTGTTTTGCAAGATTTTTATCCAAATTTAAATTTGATAAACCTTGTTTGATCGTTGATTAATATAGGGGTTGAAAATGTCCATAGGGGTTGAAAATGTCCTTAGATGGTGGTTTTTAACTTTTGCTTGTGTGGGAAGATTTTTTAATTGGAAATTTACTTAATTATGGTTTCTATATGAACAGTTCCCCCCACTTATTTCTCTCCTACTCTCAAATCTCTATGACTAATAAGGACAAAAAGAACAATTACACAATGGGGGTGATGGAACCAACTTAACCAATGCAATCATGAAAGCTACACTGAACCCACTCTTCAGAGTAAGTAAATCTCGAATCCTTAAAATTGTCTATAAATCACATGTATCGGTTAAGTTTAAGAAATATTAGTGAGAGTCAATCTCGATATGTTAGGATTTACAATTCATTCTTAGGATCTACCCTTTTTGCCTAGGAAAAATCATTCATTTACATGATCACATTTTTTACCATCTCATTTGTCACAATTGCCTTGAATTTGTCACTAGTGATGGAACCAACTTAACCAATGCAATCGTGACCCTGAGATGGTAAACTAAATATCATTAAAAAAAAATGTAGTATTATTGGCCATTCATTAATCATATAGATAAAAAAATAATTATTATATCTTTATATTGAAATGTATGTTCTATTATTAATTATTTTTATGTTTACGTATTATTTGTATTAGTTTCGTTCCCCCTCCTTCCTAACCAAATCATAATATTTATCTCAAACTTCTAAAATTACTAGTGACAAGGGGAACTTGCCTTTTTTTATTGGACAAATTACATTAGTGGTTTCTAAAATTTTCACATTGAATCAATTCCATAATATCTTAGCAAAACACCATTGACAAAAAGTTTTTTTTCAAAGTAATATAAGAAAATTTACAAACAATTCCATAAAGAACTTGGTTAAGTTTTTATTTATTTTAAGAAGGAAAAACTTGGATCAGTTCTATTCCCCAAAATGGTAAATAGCATGTAATAGAGATGAGGTGGTAATGATGAGAAAGATGAAATCTCACAATCTATAGCAATTAGAACAGCTGCAAAAGTAGTGGTCTCTAGCCGTGACCTTCTCAGCAACGGACACCAGTCGAATCTCACGGCCTTACCCCAACTGAGCGGACCCCCTTTCTTTTTCCCCGTCAAACCATCTGTTAAACAAAAACCATCGCTTCTCTTCTACAATTGAGATCCACATGTGTGTTTATTTGAGTGAGTTAACTCACTGAGTTGGCTAAATAATGTATAAAATATTAAATTTATATTTTACCCTTTAAAATAAGGCATGTGACATGCACGTGAGCTTCTATTTGCACACACCCATTCCCCTCTTTACACATCTTTTTCAATAAATAATTGATTTGGAAGTAGAATTCCGAAAATAAACAATTGGTTCGGAAGCAACATTCCGAAAATAAATACCTTGTTCGGAAGTAGAGTTCCGAATTTTTTTCATTTTTTTGACATTCAACTTCTGAATGTGTTTATTTAATGTCCATAATAGTAATTTCACTTGAAAATAAAATTATAATAAAAATAATTTTTATTAAGTGTGTGTAAAGAGGGGAATGGGGATGTGCAAATAGAAGCTCCCGACATACACATGGCCAATTTCTGTCAAAAGACTTAACTACCATTGTTAATTGGGACAAAAAGAGACAAAATATAAAATTCAATGTTAAAATCGAACGATTTGAAAATATAGGAACTAAAATAACATAAAAGTGTACCATATGCATCATTTTAATGATAAAATAGTCATTTGAGCATTTATCCTTTTCCATAATATCCCAAACAAACATTGGATTCACTAAAAATAGTCCAATCTAGACATCTAATCCCATGACTAAACAAACATAGGATACAAATCCTGACCAACCAAATAGTCCGGGGACAATGTATCTCAGGACTAATAGTCCGATGGATTACAATCCCCCCTTATGCAGTCCGTCCAAACAAACACACCCTTTGGGTAATTGTGTGGACTGATGAAATCAATGTGTAGTTAGGAGCTAATCATTTGCATTTGCATCTGCATATATGGAAACTTATGATATTTTGGTTACATTGTGACAGTTTTGTTACTTTGGCTTTTGTTAATGTGTGGCATTCTCCCAAAAAAGTTATATATATATTTTAAATTTTTAGTGATTTTTTTTTCTAAATTATGTCCATTTTTTTTTTTTTTTAACTTTTTAGGTTTGTCTTATGTAGACGAATCTAAAAAGTAAAAAAATAAAATAAAATCCTAAGCACAAAAAAAGTTACCAAAAAAAAAAAATCAATTGTTTTTGATTTTTTTTTTTATAATCCCTTTTGGACTTTTTTTTCAAAATTTTCAAATTTTTTGATCTTTTCTAATTTCTCTAGTCGAGTAGAATTCAAGAGTGTAACACTTTAATTTAAATAAAAAAAATCATTAAAGATGAAAAAAATCAACAAAAAGTTATTAAAAAAGCCAACCTCAAACACTGATAAATTGGTTAAAACTCAATAGACACAAATAGACAGAGAATAAAACACACACACACACACAAATCTTTGGCAAGGATTAATCATTAACAAATTAAACAAAAAGTAGTGCAAGTTGAGAAACATACTTGTATATTACTGATGTTACGTACTTCTCCTAAATCATTAAAAGCTTTGACATATATATATACATTCTTATGATTTCTAAATGAGAAAAATATAGAGAGGAGGCTGTAGAATGTTTTTTGTTTCTTTACTTGGGTTGATCTCAGGATCAATGGGCACTTGTACATAAATTGAGTTTTTTACCCATGAGATGGAAGAAATAGTTTTAGTATATTTTATGTATTTTAAATAACTCTGAACCTCCTAGTGGCCGTGACCACTGGACGAGGAATTCTGTGAGCAATATGAGTTTTATCTTAGAACTGCTTCACTTTGGCTATGTTTTCATGGAAGGAGGAAAAATAGTTTTAGAACAGTGACAATGTAACTCCCAAACTCTCACAAATATTTTTCTCTATTCTTGTTTTTGTCTATATATATATATATATATTGTCACTCCCCGAGACGCTCCCAACCTAAGAAACTTCTATCAGTTCACGCTTCTCCGCTCCTGCTCCCGCTTCGTGCAACTAAGGTCCTGTATCTGTGTCCATGTTCGTATGTGTGTCCGTGCTTTATAGATTTTTGTTTGTTATTTATATAATATAACTTACCTTCATATAATAAATATATTTTTTTAAAAAAAACTATTTAACGTATTCTCGTACCCGTATCCGAATTTGGATACATATCCACGTATTCTTAATTTTTAATTTTGAAGTGTCCGACCCCTAGATACACACCCACACCCGATATCTGTACCCGAGTCCGTATAACTTAGTTTGAGGGTGTTGGCAGGGGTGTAGATTTGATACAGACCTAGCATTTGGCATCCTTGAGCTATGACAAAGGACAATTAAATAAAAGGAAGAAATAGATTATATTAAAGGACATTGCAGCTAAGTCTGCACGATGAACTTTCCCATGCCTTCCAAATCAGCTGCAACATATAAGTCTAGCTTATGAAAAACCGTTATACATGTTGACAAATCACCCCGAATAATATTTGCTTTTCTAATGAATTTATTGTTTGGATATAGTTTCAGAAGCTAGGTACTGAATTTTCCTTGGCTGCATTGAAAAAAATATTAGGAGCCAATATATGTTTTGTTTTAAATCATGTCACGAGCCATTTAAAAATGATGTAGGGGTTTTCACCAACAAATGTGCTAATTTACTATTTTAAAAAGGTCATAGAATTCAGAACGTCAAATATATTGCATCTTTATACAAACATAACACCCTAGACACAAGATCTTTCTAACTTAACGCAAATATGTCTAACCTCCATAAACTCCAAAGAAATATTCTAATAATCTGTTCCACTCATTACGTGACACAATTGCATTCATTGATTCATGGCCTTGATGGGGGACGATCATTTCCGACAGGGTTAGGTCCAGATGGTCTTTTATGATTCTTCTTCCCTTCAACTTGCTTGACATTATTCGTCTGTTCAATTAGATATTTATTCATGTAGAATATATTTTGCACTACATGAAACAGAAAGGGAGAGAATACTCTTTATACTTACCCAAGCGGTGAAAATTTGTCCATTGGTCTGCCTTGATCTGAGTTTGCAAGTCTGAGCTTGAAATCAACTATACATGGATCGCAATTGCAAAGGTAAGCTTCATTAGCATTTTTGCTTCTTTAAAGCAATTCATATATTATGTTTATATTTGTTTTCTTCCCTCTTATTTTGGTTTAAACTAAAAAGACGTTATAATGTACTTTGCAAATGAAAAACATTACATTCGACAATGAGTAAGAAGAGAAGACAGGGGTGTCTTGTCTGATCGTGTAGCTTGAACCTTGGTATGTCATTGAAATGCTGTAAGTAGAAGCCATAGTAAGAGAAGATGGATTAGGGTCTGTGCTCTCCTCATCTGGGGCTTGAGCTTGAGCTTTGGTTTCAATGTCAAAATGGGATATAGATATTGAGAGTCTTTGGTCATAGTGGCTCAAAAAAGAGAAGTTGGAACATGTATATGTTAGGTAATGATGACTAAACTTGAAAAAGCATGGAATGTTTGTTAATGGTGCTTGGGATACTACTTCAATGAAAATTTTGAAAGTTAGTTGAGTTTGGAACTTGGTTGTGCCAAAATAGAATGTCACCATTGGAGTGGTATAGCAAAAAAATGGCTTATTTTATTATTTATTTATTTTTGCACTATAGCAAGCCAAAAAATGGTTTTTGCCTTGCGCCATTGAAGATGCTCTAATGGCAAAGTGATAAATTTGAAATGCCATGGATGCTCTGCTTTTCTATTAAAACTAACTATTGTTTTATTTTTATTTATTTGTTCTATTCTTTTTCCCGCAATTTTAGCAATCTGATTCATAAAATTGAATTCCCAATCCAAGTAAAAGAAATCTGATTATTATTTTTAGATAACTATGAATGGCAATATATTAGATATAACAACCACAACTAGCTGAGTCCTATTTAATGAATTAGGAATCATTTAGAAACACAAATATCATGAAAACATATATAAGCAATCATGAATGCAAGGGTGTCATCTATGGTTTACTTTTCATATGGATTGTATTTCTAAATATGATCTTACAATATAACGTTTAGTACTTGATTTATCTTTGAGAGATATACTGACTTGATCGTCGGAGTGCCCCCAGGTGGTCGAAACCACCGCGGGATGCTTATATTTCTGTTGCAAGTCAGTCAGGTGCCATCTATTCTGCCAGTGCTCTCCAGCTGGTTACTAAGCGGGCAGTGTGGTCGGAAAATCACCCACACATGTTCTATTCTTTTTCCCGCAATTTTAGCAATCTGATTCATAAAATTGAATTCCCAATCCAAGTAAAAGAAATCTGATTATTATTTTTAGATAACTATGAATGGCAATATATTAGATATAACAACCACAACTAGCTGAGTCCCATTTAATGAATTAGGAATCATTTAGAAACACAAATATCATGAATACATATATAAGTAATCATGAATGCAAGGGCGTCATCTATGGTTTACTTTTCATTTGGATTGTATTTCTAAATATGATCTTACAATATAACTTGATTTTGATGTATTGGTTATCTCCAGCTATTATGCTCCCAAAAAGACAGATTTGGGAATTGGGGACCATCTTTTGGTTTGTATTCTTTTTGCTCCAGATAAGTACACTAAAGTTTGATCAATTTAATAGTTCATCATGACTCAAGCTGGTTCTCTTTGAGATACTCAGCATAATATTGACTTAACCTAAAATCTTGTTTTCTATATCCTTGTCCATAACAGTTCTTATGGGAACTTAACTTTAATAGAAACCATATTTATGCAATTTTATGGAGGTCGTTGACTAAAAATGGGCCGACGAACAACACACAGCTTTGTTGTGACCTAAATTGGTTTTTGCACAAATGCATTTGTTTAGGTTGTCAATTTTGTGTATTTTTTGTTTTGGGGAAGTTTTCACTTATCAATTACAGATTTCCTGATTTATATGCTGCTGTTTGTTATGGTAAGTTTCTACTCCTTTCTGATATCTAAATTTGAGCTGAACTCAAATTTGCTATCTTTGGCAATTGCATATTTTTCTTTATTAATTTCGTGTTTTACAAGGAATTAAATTTGATTGCATAACTTCCTAGTGGTGCAAGTCACCTTGTACAGTAGATAGACCTACCATGTTATACATTCTTGGTGCTTTTAGCAGATTGCCTTCCCTATGAAAAGCAAAAACTACAATGTTGGATTAGATTTATAAACATAATTTTCTAGAAGCTTGAAGACATCATAAAACAACATATGCAAATATTTTTTTTTTATTTACTTGTTATTATCATTATTTTTTTATATAGCTCTGGTATCTATCTCTGTGATCCATGGTTCAAGAAATTGGCCAGTACATACCAGTTTGTGGGCCCTCCAATTTGAATACACCCCGGTTTACTGTTGGGATAAAAATTGCAAGTGAATCAGCTGATTTGCAATACGTATCACTCTGAATTGGAATTTGATAGTGGATCATAGCCAAATCCGTCCGATTCATTAGACATCTCCCCTACCATAGTTAAAACTGGCCATGGATATGGCTATTTTATTATGTAACTTTGTGAACAATACAGGTGATAGGGTGTCATATAAAAACATTGATTCATAATTTTGAAAACATGATTCATTTTATGGTTTGGTTTAGTTTGCAAACTTCTAAGAGTGTCTTAATTGTTTCCCTCCTTCCTGCTACAATGCATGCACACACAAATTGGTCTTCCTTTTCATTTTAGTTTGATATTTTAACATTGTAATCCTGACCTGGCTTGCTGATCCAGATCCTTACAATTAATTATCGTTCTGTGCTTTTGATCCTTCCACAGACATATACCTAACAGTTGTTTTGATTGATTGGCAGAATGGAATGCATTCTCTTTGTCCAGATGTATGGTCTGAGCCTACAAGGTGGCTGTTGATGTCAATGATCTGTCTCAATCCGTTAGTGTGTGTAAGTTTGAAACAATGATCATACACAAATACACTGTTAGGATGTGGTTGGTGTCTCATTAGTTCTCCTTGAACAGATTATGTACCATTTTTACTTTTAGTCACCTATATGATGAGTATTGAGATGAAGCCTTGAAATCATTGTAGCCAGAATAGATGTATGATAATATTGAGATTTTACTAAGCGATTGACAAATCGTGATGAGTATTGTGCAGTAGAGCTTTTCATGACTAGGTAACTCTCTAATGTTTATCACATTTTTCTTCTCTAGTGTCAATGAAGATGAAGGAATGCCAGGCAGAAGTAGATTGGGCAGGAAGGGGAAATTTTGGTTTTAAATAATTGTGTCCCTTTCTACCTTAGGGAGCTTTGGTGTTTGTGATGCTGACGAGGAGTCCTTTGATGAAAAGTATAAGAAGCTTCGCTGTGACATTGCCCTGCTTCCTATAATAGCAACAATTATCTGTTGATAGAGAATTACTTGATATGTCAATTTTTGGAAATTTTGAATTTGAAAACTTTGAATATACTCAGAGCTATGTACTCATTATGATTTGGTAATAGAGTGTCTTTGATTTGAGGATGTCAAATTTTTTTTTTTTATTTATTTTATGATTGGATGACATTTAATTTTTGTGCATTTTTAGCTATCCCAACTTTGATTTGTAGCGACGAAAATGTGTTGTAGAGAAAGTTATTTGTCTTTTAGGGACCAAATATCATTGTCATTAAAAATGTCATCATTTTGTTTTTCGCGGCCAAATTGGGACATTTTATGACGGAAGTATTAGCGACCAAATGTTTAGTCTTGTAAAATCAAATATTTTGTGACAATATAAAATTGGTCGCTAATTGTCATTTTCAGTAACATTTTCAAAAATTCGTCGCTAAAGACTTTACTAGGCGCATTTTTAGTGATTTTTTTAGTGTTGAATTTTATTTTGTCACAAAAATCATTTAGAGGCCAAAATAATGGTTTTAGTTTGGTTGCCAAAAGTCTTATATGTTGTAATGGAGGATCGAGAATATCATGAACCGGAGCTTTCTTGGGTTCTGCCATTGGCAATGAAACAATACCTTTTAGATTACCTTCGTGGATTTTGGGATCGACATTCTGGACAAGAGTCTTATTGCTAGATATTTCATAGATCTCGCTAGCAGCATCACTTTGTTGCATATTGATCGAATTCTAAAGGCCAAGACTTGCAGCAGCGTCTCTTGAAGATAAATCCAATTGCTTTTCCCCACCAAACGAAGCCTTTAGCCCGTTTTCCTTCTGTAACCTACTCAAGTAGAGGCGGTATTTTTGTACAATGAAAATATCTCTGTCAAATTTCCAGTGAGTATCAAATAGATAGCATATTTCCCTCAATCTTCAGAGCTGTCATTCAAACACATGTACTTAATTTTAATTTTAATGGAAGAAGATATCATTCACAGAACGAGTGCGGTCTATCATAGATGGTGAGCTTAGTAATAGAATCTACTTAAGAAAGGCACAAATGGAATTAGGGAGACATTTATATAAAATATGAGAACCCATAATATCAGATAATTAGGATGAAGCACAATACTACTCTCCAAAGACAACCAATGTAAAAAGTTAACCAACAAAACGTAAACAGGTTCTTAAACCCACTCCCCAACAGCACTCAAAACCCACTACCCCCTGATCATGAATGCCAAAATATATGAAACAAACCAATGCGATTGTCAATATATATATTTTCATCACTAACACCTCCCCATGTCGATAGTTAATTCCAGCTAATATTTGAGCAAGAGTTACGAGTATCACCTGCGAGTGGCTAGCAACATTTTCACTTGTCAACCATGGTATGTTCATCAAGTCAAGAATTTTTTTAGGACCAACTCCTGCCAAACAAAGATGAAAATCATCACCTTCTAGAACACAACAGCCGAATAACAGAAAACCAATTAGATTGCAAACAACTGTAACTATAGAGTTGCACCTAGGAGGTCAAGGGTTCGAATTCCCTTCACCTGCATGTGGGTCTTCTCTCCCACTTAGTTGTAACAATTTACCAAAAACAAAAACAAAAAGAAAAAAAACAAAATAGAATCAGTAGGACTTCTGATTCCCACTTTAAAGGAAAGGTCATAATAAACTCACTATCGAATCCAATCTGATTTACAGCTTTGACAAATTTCTGATGCAGATCGACAGTCCAAACTACTCTAGCTTTCTTCACTGAAGAAGGATCAACAAAGTCTTTGTCGTCATGCCTGTTTTCAGCATCTTTTCTTTTTTTTCTGAAGTCAAGTCACCTCCACCGAACAACTGCCCATCATCAGATTGGTCTAATCCATGTCTCATCATCTAAGTTTCTTTATAGCCTTTGTTAGAATAGTAGAGAGAGAGAGAGAATAAAATGTATTGTATTGAATGATATGTTTTATACAATAGAAGGCTTGTGTATATAGGCTGAGAAAGAGTATCCTACTAGAAATCTAACTATGAGAAAGAGTATTCTATAAAAGACCTAACTATGGCAATACCTAATATATCTAGGAAATCAATACCTAATAAATGTAAGAATATATACCATATATACGTTAACATCCCCCCTCAAACTCAAGGAGGATAAACATTTTGAGTTTGGAGAGAGAAACTAAAACATGAAAAATAACTAAATAAAATAAAAGGAAAATAGATTTGCAAAATCTGAACGGGATTGCAAGGGCGCTTGAAATAGATCAAAGGCCGGAACTAAAGCCGATAAACAGTTTATGGTCATGTCAAACCATTATAGGAACTGGCTGAAACTAATGCCAAGACAATTTAAAGTCGTGCCGGACCAATATAGAAACTGGCTGGAATTAACGCCAAGAGACAGTGTATGGTCGTGTCGGACCATTGTAGAAACTGGCTGAAACTAATGCCATGACAGTTTAAAGGGGTCATGCCGAACCGATGTAAAAGCCAACCAGAGTAATTGTCGACACAGTTTAAAAGGGTCATGTTGGACCAATGTAGGATTTAACCATCATGAATGTCGGGACAGTTTAAAGGGGTCATGCCAGACAGATGTAGGAGCTAACCGAAATCAATGTCAGGACAGTTTAAAAGGGTCATGTCGGACCGATGTAGGATCTAACCAGAATCAATGTCGGGATAGTTTAAAGGGGTCATGCCGAACTGATGTAGGAGCATACCAGAATCAATGTCGAGACAGTTTAAAGGGGTCATGCCGGATCGATGTAGAAGCTAACCGGAATCAATGTCAGGACAGTTTAAAGGGGTCATGTTGGACCGATGCAGAGAACTGATGTTGAACTAGCAAGCGTGGCGTACACATAACTTATGACATAGTGCTAAATGATAATGGCAACAAATGACTAGGTGTGCCAGGAGACAGCTTGGATGATACACCAGGGAGCGAGTTTGGTGGTGCGCCAGAGAAAGCGGCTTGGATTGTGCGCCAAAGAGAGGCGGCTCAGGTTGTGGGCCAGAGAGTGCAGCTTGGATTGTGCGCCAAAGGAGGCGGCTTGGGTGGTGCGCCAAAGGGCGACTTAAGTTGTGCGCCACAAGGGACGGTTTAAGTTGTGCGCCATAGGAGACGGCTTAGGTGGTTTGTATGGTGTATAACCATACTCACCATGATATAGTAATATCCCCCCTCAAACTCAAATAGGCTGGAAGAGAGAAACCAATTTGAGGGTGAAGTAGAGGAAAAGATAGAGTGAAGAAAAAACTGTATTGCGAGTAAAAAAATATGATAGAGATATTTAGAGTAGGAATAAACAGCGAACAAAAGGAAGAGATCACCACGAATCGATACTAACAGGAAAATATGACAGCGGAATAGGTTGAGGTCCGGCGGTCGGCCAAGGCAAGGCTGCTGCCCGCCGGTGAAGCGAAGAATACCAAGAGCTTAACCTATAGCTCTGATAACATGTTAGAATAGTAGAGAGTGAGAGAATAATATGTATTGTATTGAATGATATTGTATTGAATGAATTATATTATACAATAGAAGGCCTGTATATATAAGCTGAGAAAGAGTATCCTACTAGAAATCTAACTATGAGAAAGAGTATTCTATAAAAGACCTAACAATGGCAATACCTAATATGAAACAAACCAATGCGATTGTCAATATATATATTTTCATCACTAACACCTCCCCACGTCGATAGTTAATTCCAGCTAATATTTGAGCAAGAGTTACGAGTATCACCTGCAAGTGGCTAGCAACATTTTCTCTTGTCAACCATGGTATGTTCATCAAGTCAAGAATTT